ACTGTGCCACCAGGGAAGTCCCACCAGCACATAGATTTAAAAAATAATAAAAAAAATTCTATGAAAGCGATTATAACTACAATGAACAGCAAAAGGATAAACATGAAGATGTAAAATAAGACCTCACAATCACAAAATATGGGGGAGGAAAGTAAGAAAATGCAGATCTTTTAGAATGTGTTTGAGCTTCTATGACTACCAGTTTAAAGCAAGTAGATACAGTTATGGGTTAACATACTTGAAAACCAGGGTAACCACAAATCAAAACATGCAGCATATTCACAAAAACCAAACAGAAAGGAACTCAAGAATGATACAAAAGAAAACCGTCAAGCCACAAAAGGAAAAACGAAAAGAAGAAAAGAACAAAGAAATACAAAGTCAACTGGGAAACAGTGTTTAAAATGGCAATAAATACATACTTGTCAGTAATTACTTTAAATGTCAATGGACTAAATGTTCTGATCAAAAGACACAGAGTGGCAGATTGGATAGTAAAACAAGAACCTACAACAGAGCGCCCACTTTAGAGAGAAAGACACGTTATAGATTGAAAGTGAGGGAATGGAAAAAGATATTTCATGCAAATGGAAATGACAAGAAAGCAGGGATAGCGATACTCAGACAAAATAGACTTTAAAACAAAGGCCATAGGGAATTCCCTGACTGTCCATTGGTTAGGACTCAGTGCTTTCACTGCTGTGGCCCAGGTTCAATCCCTGGTTGAGGAACTAAGATCCCACAAGCCACATGGCGCAGCCAAAAAAAAAAAAAAAATAGACCGTAAAGAGAGAGAAAGAAGGACACTATATAGCAGTAAAAGGATCAGTACGAGAAGGGGATCTCACAGTCATTAACATATATATGCACCTAATATAGGAACACCTGTATACATAAAACAAATACTAACAGACACAAAGGGAGAAATTGATGCGAGTACAATAATAGTAGGAGACTTTAACACCCCACTGACATCAACGGACAGATCTTCCAGACAGAAAATCAGTGAGGCAACAGAGATCCTAAATGACACAGTAGAACAGTTAGACTTGATTGATATCTATAGGACATTACATTTTAAAAAACCCAGAATATACATTCTTTTTAAGTGTACATGGAACATTCTCTAGGATAGACCACATAGTAGGACACAAAACAAGCCTCAACAAATTTAAGAGAATAGAAATTATTTCAGGCATCTTTTCTGACCACAACAGCATGAAATAGAAATCAACCACAGAAAGAGAAATGAGGGGAAAAAAGATTACACGGAGACTAAAGAACATGCTGTGAAATAATGAGTGGGTCAGTGATGAAATCAAAGAGGAAAAACAAAAAAACAATTAAAAAAACCCTCAAGACAATGAAAACACAACCATACAAAATCGATAGCAAAAGCAGTCCCAAAAAGTTCATAGTGATACAGGCTTTCCTCAAAAAACAAGAAAAATCCCAAGTAAACCTAACCTACAACCTAAAAGAATTAGAAAAAGAAGAACAAACAAAAGCTAAAGTCAGTAGAAGGAAGGAATAGTAAAGATCAGAGAGGAAGTAAATAGAGATTTAAAAATAGAAAAAAAATCAATAAAACCAAGAGCTTTTTTTTTTTAAAGGACAAACAAGATTGACAAACCTTTGGCAGGCTCACCAAGAAGAAAAGAGGGGAGCCAAATAAACAAAATAAGAAATGAAAGAGGAGAAATAACAACTGATACCTCAGAAATATAAAAAATCATTAAAAAATATTATGAACAGTACATTCCAACAAAATGGACAACCTAGAAGAAATGGACAAGTTTCTAGGTATACATAGCCCACCAAAACTGAATCAAGAAGAAACAGATAATTTGAACAGACCAGTCACTGGAAATGAAATAGAATCTGTAATAAAAAAGCTCCCTCAAAACAAAAGTGCAGGACCAGATGGCTTCACTGGGGGATTCTACCAAACATACAAAGGACTTAGACCTATTCTTCTCAAATGCTTCTAAAAGATTGAAGAGGGAACACTTCCAAAGTCAATCTGTGAAGCCACCATCACCCTGATACCAAAACCAGACAAAGACACTACCAAAAAAGAAAATTACAGGCCAGTATCTTTGATAAATTTAGATGCAAAAGCTCTCAGCAAAATATGAGCAAACTGAATCCAGCAACACATAAAAAAGATCATACATCACCATCAAGCTGGATTCATCCCAGGGTCACAGGATGGTTCAACATATGTGAATCAGTCAGTGCGATTCACCACATCAACAAAAGAAAAGGCAAAAACCACATGATCATCTCACTAGATGGCAAAAAAAGCATTTGACTCTCACCAAAATGGGTATAGAGGGAACATATCTCAACATAATAAAAACCATTTATGACAAACCCACAGCTAGCATAATACCAAACGGCGAAAAGCTGAATGCCTTTCCAATAAATTCTGGAACAAGACAAGGATGCCCACTCTCACCACTTCTACTTAACATAGTATTGTAAGTCCTAGCCACAGCAATTGGACAAGAAAAAGAAAGAAAAGGTATCCAGATTAGAAGAGGTAAAATTATATGCAGATGACGTGATTCTCTGTGTAGAAAACCCTAAAGGCTCAGCACAAAAACTATTAGAACTGATAAATTAATTTAGTAAGGTAGCAGGATACAAGATTAATATACAGAAATCTGTTGCATTTCTTTACCCTAACAAGGAAATATCAGAAAGAGAAAGTTAAAAAAAAAAAAAACCCTGTTTAAAATCACACCCCTCCCACCAAAAAAAAAAAAAAAAAACTTAGGAATAAACCTGACCAAGGAGGTGAAAAACTTATATGTTGAAAACTATAAAACACTGATAAAGCAAATAAAAAATGATTCAAGAAAATGGAAAGTTATCCCATGCTCTTGGATTGGAAGAATTAATATAGTTAAAATGGCCATACTGTGCAAACCAATCTATAGATTTATTGTGATCCCTATCAAATTACCCACGACATTTTTCACAGAGCTAGAACAAATAATCCTAAAATTTACATGGAACCACAAAAGACCCAGAATTGCCAAAGCAATCCTGGAAAAAGAACAAATCTGGAGGCATAACTCTTCCAGACTTCAGACAATACTACAGAGCTACAGTAATCAAAACAGTGTAGTATTGGCACAAAAGCAGACATATAGATCAATGGAATAGAATGGAGAGCTTATAAGTAAACCCACACACCTATGGTCAATTAATCTTCGACAAAGGAGGCAAGAATATTCAATAGAGAGAAGACAGTCTCTATAGCAAGTGGCGTTGGGAAAGCTGGACAGCCGCATGTAAATCAATGAAGTTAGAACACTCCCTCCCACCATACACAAAAACAAATTCAAAATGGCTTAAAAACTTAAATATGGGCTTCCCTGGTGGCGCAATGGTTGAGAGTCCACCTGCCGATTCAGGGGACACGGGTTCGTGCCCCGGTCTGGGAGGATCCCACATGCCGTGGAGCGGCTGGGCCCGTGAGCTATGGCTGCTGAGCCTGTGCGTCCGGAGCCTGTGCTCCGCAGCGGGAGAGGCCACAACAGTGAGAGGCCCGCGTACCGCAAAAACAAAACAAAACAAACTTAAATATAAGACACGACACCATAAAACTCCTAGAAGAGAACATAGACAAAACATTCTCTGACATATGTGGAATCTGAAAAATAGTACGAATGAACTTATTTACAATACAGAAACAGACTCACAGATGTAGAAAACAAACTTATGGTTACCAGAGGCAGGGGGGTGAGGTGGAGGGATAAATTAAGAGTTTGGGATTAACAGATCTGCATTACCATATATAAAGTAGAGAAGGGTTAACTGTATAGCAGAGAGAATTATATTCAATATCTTATAATATTGAAATATACTGTAAGAATCAATAAAGGATATATATGTGTATAACAGAATCACTTTGCTGTACATCTGAAACACAATATTGTAATTCGACTTTTAAAAAACAGGTAGAAAACAAAGCAGGGTCATAAAAACAATATAGACAGACCTTGAACCTTTCGTAAAACATAAACTTAGGTTTGTTCACCAACCATTTGGTGGCTGGCCAACACCTTTTCTTGGTGGCTTGCTCCTCGGAGTTCTGTGGTGTTTTTATTTGGAAGCTCTAGCCAAGATGCATCATTTGTGATTTCCTGTTTTCAAGTGGAACAAGAATGTAGGCTCTCAAAGCAGTGGGACTGCAGGGTCCTTCCCTGTCATTTTTCATAGTTGTCTTGCTCACACTTAATTTATCTGCCATCTTTTAAAAACAATCTACCTTTATTGAGTATTCCCAAAGCACTTCAAGTGTGTTTCTTAGAGGGAGCTATTTTTTATGGTTTTCATATTCCTTTCATTAGTTAATAGTAGTATTTCTTTAATTTATGTAATCCTAACATTATATAAGTTACTGTCACAGCAGTATTCAGGTAGAGTGTTACCCATAACTGTGGGCCTGCCTGCAGATCAGTGTGGGGAGCACAAGCATGTTGCACTCATGCCTGCTGGCCTCCAATGTCCCGTCCTCTCCGGGCCCCCCTAGTGTGGTTTGCAGAGGGACTGACTAGGGAATGTCACTGACCTGCAGAGGTGGTCACCTAGGGGTGGGTTGAGAGGTCATGTAGAGGTGGGTGAGCCCTTCTGCTCTGGGGACCTGGAGGAGGGGAAGAGGCATTCCTTCTGAGGTCCAATTGGGGCTCCAGTGAGAGGGCTCTCGGGGTCGCCAGGCAGGAGGGCAGGGTATGTCCTGAACAGTAGGTGCCCTCTTTGCAGCATGATGCCTGCTCGGGAAGGTCCAGAGTCAGCTCTGTCGTTTGTCATGCGCATCTGCCTATAATTCCAGGAGCTTCTTGGGGACATGTGGGGCCCCCTCGTGGGGCTGAGCATGAGCCCTGGAGGCCAGGGTGTTTGCTTAGCCGGGGCCCTTAGTTACTGCGCGGGGTGGGAGTGACTGTTCATTTAGAGGCCTCACTGCTTCTTTAACACTCCTCTCCCAGGGCCACCACAGTCCGGTACAAAGGGAGGAACCTGCGGATCAAAGCGCCCATGTGCCGTGCCCTGAAGAAGCTCTGTGACCCGGACGGTACGTCAGACACGGGCTGGGCTGGGCCGCGCACCTGGGGCTCACTCCCGTCGGGGAGGCTCGCTGTCTGGCTCCAGCCGGGCTGAGCTGGAACACGGCGGCTGAGCCTGCATGATCCAGTCCTGCCAGTAGGCAGCTCCTGGACCCGAAACCCCGTGTCATAGCGGTGTGTCCTCTCATGATTCAAGTCCAGCTCAGAAGTCCCAGCTGTCCTCAAACGGAGCATCAGAGGTGTCAGGGCGAGTCTCCCATGGCTGGTCCGCGGCTCTGGTGTAGCAGATGTGCAGCTGGCCACTCTGGCACCTTTAGACCAGGTCCTTGCTGGGGCTCCTGCCAGTCCCACTTTCACTGAGGGCTGTTTGCCCCTTGCTCCTCTCTGGGTCCCTTAGCTGTCTGGCCGAGGACTTCACCTTCTCATCAGGGTCTGTCTGTGCCAGGCTCTCACGGCCCTTTTCTGTCGCAGGCTTGAGTGACGAAGAGGACCAGAAGCCAGTGCGCCTGCCCCTGAAAGTCCCCGTAGAGCTGCAGCCACGGAACAACCATGCCTGGGCCCGCGTGCAGAGCCTCGCACAGAACCCGCGGCTCAGGTAACACGCTATGCGTTTTGGGGGAGCGAGCTGCGATGGTCGGGGCTGGAGGGGAGGTGTTGGGTCCCTGGGTGAGCAGCAGACGCCACTCCAGTACTCTGACACCACCTGGGGGTAGTGTGGGGGATGCCTTTAGATTCAGGTAAAATTCACATAATACGGATTTAACTGTGAGCCCTTTTAAGGGGCCCGGTTCAGGGGTATTGGGTACCTTCACAGTGTTGTACAACTATGACCTCTCTCTAGTTCCAGAAATTTTCAGCCCCCTGAGAGGAAACCCCATGCCCACTGAACACTCACTGTGCATCCTCCTCCCACTCCGCAGGGCACCACTGGTCTACTTTCTGGCCCTATAGATTTGCCCATTCTGACGTTTCATGTAAAAGGATCATACACTGCTCCTTTCTGTCTGGCTTTTCTCACTGAGCATCATGGTTTCAGGGTTCATCCGTGTCGTAGCCTGCATCAGGACTTCATTCCTTCCATGTGTATTTTTATTTTCTTGGGTTTAATTGAGTCTAGACCCGCCCTCTGGGCCCCACAGGGAGCTGGTAGAAGAGAAGGGTGTGTTGTACCAAGGCCCCTGTCCTGGTTGAGACCTCATACTGTAAAGGGCACTCAGGATCTCTCTTACTTTTTCTTGCAGTTTCTCGCGAGTCTCCTGTTATCTCAAATTAAAGAGTTAGTTTTTAGAAAAGGAGCCAGCAGCTCTACAGGGACATTATGGCTCTGGCCTCGAGACCCCCTGGCATCATCTTCCTGCCACAGCCTCTGGGGCTCCTAGAAGGTACCCCCACGTCCCAGCCTCCCATTCCCCATCTGTCTTTTCTCTGTAGGATGATCGTGGAGCTCCATCGAAAGGTCTCCAGCCTCATCGAGTTCCTGAAGCAGAAGTGGGCACTTCATGAAGTGCGAGTTGTATCCTTTTCCTACTTAAAGCCACCCCCAGGATCCACAGCACCTGCTGTCTGAGAGTGAAGTCTCCTTCTCAGTCCTGGAATTGCAGTGGGGCCCCCAGGCGTGTAGCAGGTGTGCCATGAGATGGTGTAGAACCAGAACTAAAACCCACAGCCCCTCATCCTCTGGGTTTTGGGTCTGAACCCCCTTTTTGACCTCCTTGCAGTGTTAGAACTCTGTCACAGCAGCCGTCCTTGCTGTAAGTGGCTGCCATCTGGCCCACAGGGTGTGGCCGAAGCATCCCTGCCAGCAGGTTGAACAAAGTGACCGAGGACAGCCCCACACCTACATCTTCGTGTCCTTGGCTGGCTTGTAGCCCTGCCCAGTTCCCAGCTAGGAGGGTGAGTGTTGGGTGTGGAGCCCGGAAAGAAGGAAGTACCTGTCGTGTCTCCCCGCTGGACCTCAGGGTGTGAGCTGCTGCAGGTGGTTCCTTGACGGTGCGCTCAGCGGAAGACGTTTGAGGAGCAGCAGCTACAGGACTCGTTCATGGAGCCATCGCAGGAGAAGGTGGCACTTCACCTGTTCCCGGGGGAGAACTGCACCCTGACCCCGCTGCCGGGCGTGGCCCGAGTGGTGCACTCAAAGGCCTTCTGCACGGTGCACTGGCAGGAGGGCGGCCGGTGCAAGCAGAGCACCAAGGACACCCACACGCTGCCCCCAGCCCAGATCCTGGGCATCCAGAGCGGGCAGGGCACAGCCAGGGGCCAGCTGAAGTGCCCACGGGGCGGCACCGAGGCCAAGGGCGGGGGGCGGCCCCCTCCCTCCACTGACGCTTTGCAGAGCTCCGGGGAGAGTTCCCCTGAAAGTGCACCTGGGGAGGGGGCCGCTGCAAGTTTCAGCAGCCCGGATGCCTCTGACAGGCTTCCCCCTGGGCTCCAGGATGCTGGTGGACAGCTTGAGAAGACCCCTGCGGCTGCTGCTGCAGAGGGTGGGGACGGCCCTGCCCGAGAGCCCGGGCCCCTGGCGTGTGCCTGTGGCCAGCTCCCAGACCTGGAAGATGAGCTCTCCCTCCTCGACCCCTTCCCCCGCTACATGAAGTCCTGTCAGGACCTCATCATCCCTGAGCAGTGCCGCTGCGCAGACTTACGGCCCTCAGGGTGCCCCTCCCCAGAGACCCTCGTCCCCAGCAGCGCAGAGGTGGCCGACCTCGCCCGGGCCAGGGCACCATCCCCTGTCCGCGTCCCGCCCGGCCCAGAGCCTCAGCCCAGCCCTGGGCTCCAGCCGGACGTTTGCACTAAAGACTTGGCGGACACGCCTGCAGAGGAACCCCAGGAGAAGGCGAGCCCCTTGGATCCCCCGCCACCTCAGGGTCAGCCTGCCGTCAAGCCTCTGAAGGACGTCCCTGCCAGCCGGTTCGCCCAGCAGCTCCGCGAGGAGGGCTGGAACCTGCAGACCTCTGAAAGCCTCACGCTGGCTGAAGTCTACCTCATGATGGGCAAGCCCAACAAGCTGCAGCTAGAGTACGACTGGCTGGCAGTGCTGGGCCCTGAGAGCCAGGCCCTGGGAGGGCAGGCCCAGGGCTCCCGCGCTGGCTCCCCGCCTACCACCTTCCACAAGCAGCGTCTCCTCAGCTGCCTCCTGAAGCTCATCTCCACCGAGGTCAACCCCAGGCTGGTAAGTGTGGGTCGGAGCACGGCCCTTTTGGCCCCCCAAGGGCTCGCGGCTGGGTGGCTGGGGTCCAGAGAGGAAAGACCGGCCTTGTGGCAGGTGGTATGGGGCCCCGCGGGCTCCTTGGAGGAGGTGGTCTGGGGGTCGCCTTTCATTCCCTGGAGTGGGCTGCACAGAGCACGTGGCTGGGGCTCCAGTTCCCTGCAGTGCAGGCCCTCGTCCCGTGGGGCTCACACGGGCTGCACCTTGCCCGGCTCCAGAGATGCCACTGAGCCAAAGTGTGTGGGCCGAGGGGACAGAGCCTGGGACAGAGGCGCAGAGGTGAGGTGGCAGCCATGGCCAGGAGCCGAGCTGGGCTGGGAGTGTTACAGGTTTCTGTAGCAGGAACGGCGAGGTCGAGTGTGTGCTTTGGAAAGGCCATCCGTGGAGGCCAGTGGGGGTGCAGCCTGGGTGCAGGGAGTAGAGCTGGGAGGGGCTGCGCTGGGTGGGCTGCGCCCAGGAGACCCTGTTGGGAGGTGGCTGGTTGGAGTGGTCTCAGGTTCCTTGAGAGGCTCCTGTGGGGGGCAGTGGCTGCCATGGCCCAGGGAAAGGGCACCCGGCCAGGTGGGCCTGGCCACGGCTTGTAATTGCCCCCTCACCCCCGCTCCTGGGAGGCCGGCCAGCAAAGCCCACACGTGGGCTGGAAGGTGCTGCAACTGGAAAGTCTAGTCCGCTCTCGGCACAAGAGCAGTGTTCTGAGGCAGGTCGATCCCGAAAGGCGCGTGTGCACTAGAAGGTGAGGCTCACAAGTTCCAGGAGGAGGCTCAAAAGCTCAGCGTGGTGGCCTCACAGGAGTGGGGCTCGGGTCACAGTCAGAACCAAACTTGAGGTGCACCCATGTCACCGCTGTGACAGGTACCCGCCTCCTGCTCCCCGGGGCTGACAGCATGTGGTCTGTGTTCTGCTCCATTTCCCGGAGCCTCTGCCCTGGGCTCCTGCCCACCATCTTCCGGCGGCACTCAGCAGAGCTCGTTGTGGGGAAAGAGCGCCACATGGGACCAGTTCTCATGGGGCCCGAGGGCCAGCAGTGGATTTTGGATTCAGGTGTGGTTGTGACCTGCGGGCAGGCATGGGCAGTATTGCAGTGACTGGACAGAGATGATGAGTTTAAAACACTTTTTCAAGTTTGGCTTTTGGAGGGGTCAGGAGCAGAGATGGGGGAGACCAGAGTGTGTCCAGACCCCTAGGGAAGGAGGCCGGGCCAGGCCGGCTCCTAAGGAGGCAGGAGTTCTGGTACACGGCTGAGGTGCTGGCTTTGGCCTCAGCCTCAACTGGGAGAGGAGAGTAGAGCAAGTTGGAAGTGCAGAGTATGCAGAGCAAGGCGCTCAGATCTGTGGTTCCGGAAGCGGGGTCCCCGGCCAGCAGCCTCGGCATCACCTGGGAACTCGTTAGGGATGCAGGTTCTTGCAGCCCAGGAGATTGTTTTGACGAGACGCCCCCACCCCCATGCCCTGCTTGGTGATTCTGATGCAGCTCAGGTGTGAGAATCCCTTGCTCAAGGCCCCAGGAGAGATAGAGGACCTTGAATTAGAGATGGCCTGCCTGGCCAGGCGGCCCCTCCCTGCGATATATCTGTAGGTGGGATGCTGACAAACAAGTGCAGCGATGGCCGCCCTGCCCCAGGAGGCTGGCAGGCACTCAGGTGGGAGGTGGGGGTGTCGAGATCCAGTGAATGGATTAGGAAGGGACACAGCAGGGGTCCCAGGGAAAGGAGAAGGTGGGTCAGGCCAGGGCGAAGGGCATGGAAGACACAGAAAGAGGTGCAGGCTAGGTGGGGCTGGGTGAGAGCATGGGAAGTGGGTGCTGGGAAGAACTGAGGGGGCGGGGCAGGACAGTGGAGTCATGGGAGAGAACAGGTGAGTAGAAGGGGTGCCTCTATGGCCGAGGACCCCAACACTCAGTGGCAGCGAGGCGAGTGGAGGCAGCGGCCTCAGGTAGGGGCCCTTGAAACCCCTGAGGTGGAGGTTTTGACTAAGCAGAGGACTCCTTGGCTGTGATTGTGTTTGATTTTAGAAATTAATCTGTATTTCCTTTCTCTGACTCACAATCAGAAGAAGCTTTAAGAAGAGTCCCTGTCGCTTGCCGCTCAGCCTCCCCTCCCGTCCCGGTGCAGGGGGACGCCCTGTCCGTGCCACCGCGGCAGTGAACGCAGAAGGGCTCCTGGAGGACAGCGGTTGTTCCCCTGAGGGCCTGGGGGCACCAACCTGTGCGTCATGGAGTGTGACCCTGGGCCCTTTGCTGTCCTGTCACACTCCACAAGCATTGTTCCGTGCTGAGTTTGGCCAATGTTTTGGCCCGTTTCTGTCCCAGGCTCCAGAAGCGAACACTGGCTCCACGGCCTCAGTGAGGCCTGCCCAGGAGGAGCAGTCGACGACGCCCCCGGGGAAGGTGGTGACTGTCAGCACCCGCAGCCCACGCTGCCCTCGAAACCAGGCTGCCCTCCGTCACGGCAAGACCTTCTCGCCCAGCTCCACACCTTGCTCCTCAGGTGAGGCTCAGACAGCCACAGGCAGCCTCCGGGGTCCTTGCTGGGCGTTGCGGGCTGCACAGAGCCGAGAGCTCTGGGCTGCCTGAGGCCTTGCCCCACTCAGTCAGCTACAGTCCAGCGGATGGTGTGGGGTACAGAAATCACTGCCTCCTCGAGGGGAGGGTGAGCACAGGGCCCGTCACAGAGGCTCTGGGGTCCTGGGTGCGGGAGCCGACAGGCAACATAGGGGACCCTTGCCAGTCTGGTCACTTTGGGGGATCTGGCTTTGTTGAGGTCATCAGCAGCCTCCATATCATGCCAAGTTGGTGGCTTAAAGCATGAGAAAGGTTGGTTCTTTCTGAGTCTTACAATAAAGTATTAGAATAAAGAAACCTTCAGCTAAAGGATACCCCAGCAGTTGAACACAAGTCTTAGAAAGAAAGATGGGCTTACCTGCTGGACCATGATTGTATCTAGGAAGTAATTTAAATTCAGCGTCCATTTTTGGGTTACGCAGCACATAACCCTAGGATAAACGTGACTCGTTTCTCTGAGTCATCAGTTTACTTGCTTAGTATTTTTTTTTAATAAAACAGATTGTCATGGCTAGAATAGTTTATTCTGCGTGAATTTTAAAGAATAAGGCTGCTGTGGTGTCTGGCTCCCCATCTCCTGCAGTTCTTGTTTTCCGTTTCCCTCCTGACCTTTATCCTGTTTCCTTGCTGTGGCTCATGAGGGGGCAGCAGCAGACTCTGAATTGGTTGTCTTTAAGGAAAAGGCGCGTTCCTCAGGCGTCAACCCGTGGTGGGCTAGCTGGGAGCCTGTATAGTCTTTGCCGCCTCCCTCTGGCTTTAAAGTTTTGCAATTCTGTGAACTCTTAAATATCCACACTCTTCCTCAATCGAGGATGGTTTTAGCCCAGTGCACCTGCAGTGCTAGAATCCAGACAGGTGCTTAAAAGACCTGGTCTCTGGACTCTGTGCGTGTTGATTTAACCTCACAGACTTGCAAATAAAGAATAAAGAAAGGGGACCCGTCCCTACCATGAAGTGAGGGTGCTTTGCAGCAGTGCCTATGGTGATGAAAACAGCAAGGAGAGTCCCCAGATAGTAGTTCCTAAAAAAATATTTTCTGTTTTTTTATCTCTAGGTCTGTTTTCTGTATAATTAGAGATTTAGGCCAAGGATCAGCAGACCGTGGTCCACAGCCTGCTTGTTGTAAATGAAGTTTTATTGGCACATGGCCACATCCACTGGCTCACGTGGCTGCCTTTGTGCTGCAGCCGTAGAGCTGAGTTCAACAGAGACTGTGAGGCCCTCGAGACTGACTTTTGTTGTCTGTCCATGTCCAGAGAACATTTGCTGACCTCTGGTCTGCACTAGATGATCTGGAAGGTTCTTCTAGCTCTGAAAAGTCTTTGAAGGTGAATCTGCCCTTCCCACTGAGATCAGAGATCAAGGAAAGCTCTGATCTGCTTACATGGTGGGAACTAGAATTTCAGGGAGAACGGAAGAAAAGCAGATTTTTACAGCACTGAGATATAGGAAATTCCCTTTAAGGACACCAGAGAGGCCATCAAGGATTCCTTTCTGATTTTCTTCCCGGTGGAACCCCTCCCATGTTGGAGACGTTGCTGGGTGAGCACCATTGTATCTGTTCTCCCTTCTCCTTCCCTAGGTTTGAGAAACCCCCCGAGGCCCCTCTTGGTGGCCGGTCCCTCCAGTGCTGGAAGTGGTGATTCAGATGGTGGCCTTTTTGCCGTCCCGACAACTTTGCCACCCAATAGCCGACACGGGAAGCTCTTCTCTCCCAACAAGGAAACAGAATTGACGTTCCGTCAGCATCTGAACTCCATCAGCGTAAGTGGGGCCCACACCTCCCTGCTGCTGGCCTGCCCCATGTGTGTGGAGAAAACACTCTCAGGGTCAGTACTGTCTTCCTCACAGATGCAGTCAGATTTCTTCCTGCCAAAGCCCAGGAAGCTGCGGAACCGGCACCTGCGGAAGCCGTTGGTGGTCCAGGTCAGGAGCCCATCCACATCTGCGTGTGCCTGGCCTCAGGGGCTGGCCTCTCCCTCCCACCAGCTGAGCTGCCCAGGACACGCTAGTGTCCTCCTGTGTCTCAGGTTTTCATGTGAAGTGGGGAGAATCCCTGCCCCTTCTTTTCTTCTTTTTATCAGGATAAAGTAGTAACAGTGACCCTAACTGTACCTGAAAATAAAGGTAATCTTGGTACAGCATGAAAATGGCTTGCAAAAAAGACAGGAAGTTCTTGGGATTTGGGTTCCAAGGATGTTCCAGATTGGAATATATGTGAGGACTCTCAGAACATCTGTTTATAAGTATGTAGTTAATGGAAGCAGTTGGCAAGGTATATGGATTGGCCAGAGGCCAGACCTCTCCCAAGCTGGTAATGAACTCTGGGAGGACCCGTGGATGCCACCTGCAGACCCAGGGGGGTGATCCAGGGTTGAGAGGCACAGGAGAAAGAGGGCATTTTTATTTGGAGGTGAAAAGATAACAGAGGTGAAGCTGAAATTCTGAAATAACTATGGGCCTGGAAATTTATGAATGTTTTTGAATTAATGCATAGGTCTCCTTTTGTTAGACTCAGAAATCTCTTTCTCTCTTGGAAGTAATTTATTTAGAAATGAGAGATTGCATGACATCTCAGGAAGGAAAATTTATTCCAAGTCCCACAGGTTTTTTTGTGCAGGCTAATTCAATGTTAGGGCATTTAATTTTGGTATATTTGGTTAAATACATTAACCCTCTGCCCTGGGCATGGGAATACACTCCCTGGCTGAGAGGATACCCCACGGCCCAGGGTCGCAGCCATGGTGCCCTCAGCTGCCTATTGTTGTTTTGTTTATAAACAGCTTTATTGATATATAATTTACAAACCATGAAGCCTACCTGTTTAAAGCATACAGTTCAGGGTTTTTAGTATATTCACAGGGGTGTGCAGCCCCCACTGCTGTGTCATCACACCAAACAGAAGCCCGGCCCCGTTACCTGCACCGCCCCTTCCCCAACCCTTGAGCCACTTCCTGTCTCTAGGGATCACATAATTTCACATAAATGGAATCACACTTCATATGTGGTTCTTTCACTTACTGTTATTATAAAAAGTTTCATGGGCATGTGGCCACGGTACTTCATTTCCCTGCTGTCCACGGCTGCTTTCACACCACCAGGGTGGACTTGAGTAGCTGTGACAGAGACCGCGAGGCCCAGAGCCTAAAGGATCTCCCATCTGGCTCTTTCAAAGAGGCGTGAGTCTGGCAGGGGACACCACGGCCCGTCACCTCGTGTACAGTCACCCTGCTGCCTTGCAGCACCTGGTAGACCCTGGGGGAGCCCCAGTGGGGCGAGAGCCCAGCTGTATGCCCAGAGCTGCAGTGCCTCTGGACACTTCCGGCCTGAGAGATGCTTTCTGTCAGTGCTTCACCTCAACAGCTAACAGTGTCGGCAGTGAACTCCATTTCCTCTTAGGTGGTAGTCGTCACACCATGAAGGCGCCCTGAGCACATTGGGGCCTGATGGTTCACACATGGGAGCCCTGGGCGTGTGACAGGGAGGAGCGGGCACCAGACCGTGGATGGGGTGGAGGGCCGCATGGCCTTGGCCCCCTGCGATACAGGCGGCAACTTGATTTTCTTCACCCAAACAAGGGGTATCTCGTAACAGTCCATATCGAGTGGTTATAAATATTTATAGGACTACTTGCATTCCAGCCAAATCCAGATGTTCTAGATAAAAGGTGGATTGTTCTGACATTCCCCCAGTTTTCCCTGGGGAGCTTCAATTCCCTGGGTTCTTTTTAGAGAGGACCCAATGTTTAGGGGTCTGGGGTCTACAGAGCACAGCCATCCTCAGACTGTCTTGGAAGCCCTTGTGTCAGCAACTCTAGAACCAAAACCCCCATCTGGTTACACTCAGCTCCCTCTTCTCTAGAACATTCCTTTACAATCCAGCACTAGTTTCCTGGGTGATTTTCGGTATTAGGGTCTTTCCATCACCTGAATATTGCCAATTTTCCCTCCACAGAGAACTCTGCTTCCTAGACCGTCTGAAAACCAGTCCCACAATGTCTGTTCCTTCTCCATCCTGTCGAATTCTTCCATAACTGGTAAGTGCCGGGGCTTCTCAAGGAAGCTTTCGCTCCTTACGTGCGCGGCCCCGTCTTTGGGAATTGCAGGCATTTGTTTCTGTGGCCCTTTGAGTGACATTTCAAGCCTTCCTGGGTCCATTCTATCAACATGGGCAGCGGTTCGGGCAGGCGTGGTCCCCTGACTGGTGGTCCACAGGCAGCTTTCCTCCCAAGTTGGGCTCATACGGCCCTGGTTGGGGTGCTCTGCTTGGTTCAGTTTAGAAAAGGGTCTGTGGTCCACCCCATCCATTGACGTATTCTTGTCAGGCGTTTTATGGGACAGACGTGTCCTTAGGGTGTGCGACTCACGCTTTCATTTGGTCTGTCAACTCAGTGGGGCCCTCGCACTTTGCAGTAGATCTTATACAGTGAGACTCCTTCAGTGAAACACACATTCCATGACTTACCTTTTTATTGGTCTTGATTTTCACAAGACCCAGACAATTGCTCATTCTCATACCTACTTTTCAATGGCAGAAAGCCCGCCAGGAAGGAGCCAGGTTGCAGAGGCAGCACCTTGATCCTAGTCTGGTGCTCTGACCCCCTCAGAGGAGCCTGTAGCTCAGCTCAGGTGTGACAGACCCTTAAAGGGCTGTTCCCGTGTGCTGACAGTAGTGACCGCAGCCATTCAGCAGCCCCCCAGGAAGCGCAGTGGGCGACAGTGCTTTCTCTCCATTGGGGCCCTGTGTGACCATTAACTTCCCCAAGTTAGCAAGTGTTGGGACGTTTGGTGGTTTCCAGCTCGGCTTCCATGATCTGGACGGTGGCCATGAAGGGGAGCTCGTGCAGCCCCCGCCGTGTGGCAAGAGGCCATCAGCTCGTGTGCCTGACGCGTCTGCTTCCACTCTCATCCTCACAGGGAGAGGCTCCTTCCGGCCCATTCAGTCCTCCCTGACCAGAGCGGCTCTGTCCCGGCCGATTGTGCCCAAGGTCCTGCCACCCCAGGCCCCAGGCCACCTGGCTAGTAAGTCTCTGCAACTCTGCCCTGGCATGAAAATGAGGCCTGCACATGGGCTGTCCCCTCTGGGGCGCGTTTCAGGACGTCAGGAGACAAAGACTTGCACGTTGCTTCTGTTGCCAGGTGCTATCGACTTAGCAGCTAAAAGCGCCGGCATCATCCCTGGGAGCCCCCTCCCTGTCCTGGATGCCGATGGCTTGTCTGGCATCTCCCCGCTGTCTTCAGATGAGGTGACGGTGACTGTCTCGGGGCAGGACTCCACCGGCACCCACCAGAATGGAGACCCCATCCCCGCTGTAGGGGTGAGTGTGTTTAGAAGGGCTTCTCTGAGCTGCCACCAGCTTTGGGGATGGGATGGTCAGTCTCCAGTCCTGGTTTGAAAGCCAAGGCCATGAGCTGAGGTTGTGCTGGACTCCAGCTCTGCCTCTGGAGGGGACGGGCCAGCTGAGCGAGAGGAGCGTCACTGAACAGGGAAGTCTCAGCCTGAGTGAGACCATGTGGCGCAGTGGGTGGGGTGGGCTTGCCATGTGACCCAGGGAATCCACAACTAAGACGGGCATGGAGGTCTGCCCACAGCAAAGGTAGCCGGCCTGAACAGCAATGTTACCAAGTTGGCTGTCAGTCTACCCCTGACTTCCGGCTACTTGGGTGCTGCTTCAGCAGGCCCTGCTCTGCAGCCCTGCCAGCACTCCAGCTCCTCCGGTTCCCCCACCTGTTTGAGGGCTGCCTGAGGTGGGCAGGGCAGGCGGCTACTTAGGACTGCAGAGCCCAGCCCTGCCTGAGGACCCTGAGGTCGACCTCTTGCTAGGACTGGAGTTGATTGTGAATTGACAAATGGTCTCAAGTTTGGGGATGTGGGGGCACACATTCTGAGAGCAGTGGGCTTTCCTGTGCTCCCAGGGAGAGCTCTCCAGCCTACACCCCCGTGCTCCTACCTGTTAGGAGCCATGGGGTGGACGGCTCTCCTCAGGAGCCAGGTGCCGGGCCAGCGCTCACTGGCATGTTCCTGGTGTTCTCGTAGGGCACGAACGACCCGTTCATCAGTGTCCCCTCGAGGCAGGAGACGGTGGCAGACGGTTTCCAGGTAGAGTGTGCTGTTGGCTGCTGAGCAAAGTAGCTGCCCCAGGACCTCGTCCAGCGCTGGGCCCTACCCTCGTGGTCCTGCTCGTGGGCCCAGGCTTCCTCCTCATGATGCCCAGCGGCCATCCTTCCCCGCATCTTGCCTCCTTGGTGCACATGCGGCTCCCATCTCAGGCTTCCCTTCTCCCCTCTTGGGCTGGCTGATTGAGACACGGTTCTGGAAGGACTAAGTTTTCTGGGCCGGGTAGGAGGAGGTCATCAGCTGGGGGTGGAAGCAGATCCAGGCCACCTTGGCCCGGCCTCCCAACTGTGCCATCCCTCAAGGGTTTCAGGAGAAGGAAGTTCCCTGAGTGTGTTTCTTGCTGGAAGGATGAGTGACTGCTGGGGTCACTGCCTCTCTGTTGGTGTCCCCATCACTCAGTCACTGCTCTGCGGGACCAAGGTTGCTTTTTCATTGCTTGGTATGGACTGTCTGTTCTGTCGTGTCTCAACAGTATCTGTCTCCGCAGAACTCGCCTGTTCTCTCCTTATCCGAGCTGTCCAAGGCTCCTCTCCACAATGGGCTCTCCACACCGTTGGCCTCGTCGGAGGCCTCCAGCACCCGGCTCTCTCCACCCAACGTCTCTGCTCTGCTGGACATCTCCCTGCCCGGCCCGCCCGAGGACGTGCTCTCGCAGGGAGAGCCCGCCACGCAGATCAGCGACTCCATCATCGAGATCGCCATCAGCTCCGGCCAGTACAGTAAGGAGCAGGGTGCCTCTGCACAGCCCTCCTGGAGTCAGTTCTCCCAGGGGCCTTGACCTCCCACCTGAGTGTTTGCCAGCCTCCAGGCACCTTGCTGTCCAGCTGTCCTGGGTGTTGAGCCTCTGCACCTACAAGGCACTGCCCAGCCTTGGCAGGGGCAGCGCAGGCGGACAAGGCCCGTACAGGACCTGAGCCCATTTGTGGTCTGGCGGGGCTGCCCCTGGCCTTGGGAGATAGAGCGGGCCCACAAGGCGTCTCCAGCCTGGGGATCAGGCAGGGCCGTCTCCTTGTCAGTCTGAACCTGGGTTGGACGCCTGCAGGGTTGTGGGTTTCAGAAGGGGTTGGACTGGTACCTGTGGGCCTTGGCTCCCTGAGCCTGTGGGGATGGTGCTGTGGGGCAGTGGTATGGTGGGCACCAGCTGGTAGAGTTCAGGCCGTGGATTCAGAGCTAGTAGCTGGCAGCGTGTGGCCGTGGGCTGGTCACCAGCTCATCAGAGCCTGTTCTCCTTAGCAGTGTGTTGGGAGCCACGGACATCTTGCAGGGCTGTCGTCAGCAGCAGGAGAGGGTGTAGGTGACGCCCTCAGCACAGGGCCTGCCTGCCTCCATCCACTGTGGCCAGTGTCATTCTCTGAAGATGGGCACGGGTCCCTGCTGTTGGGGGGCCCAGTGGGGTCCTGAGCCTCCCACTTCAGCAGTGCATGCCACGCCACTCCGTGGCCTTCTTGGTGGCAGGTGGGGGAAGTGGGGCTGTTCACCCCACATGTCGGCTTTGACCCAGATTTTGGTTGACAGGTGAAGGAGTCCCTCTTTCTCCAGCAAAACTGAATGGCAGTGACAGTTCCAAGAGTCTCCCCTCCCCGTCCAGCAGCCCCCAGCCAGACTGGATCGCCTCCCCGACCCACGACCCACAGTGGTGCCCCAGCGACCCCACAGACTCCTCACTCAGCAGCTTGTTTGGTGAGTCTCTGTGGAGGGCAGCCGGAACAAGCAGAGCCAGAGTTTGGACTCTCCACGCTCCTGGCAGAGAGCCCCTCCAGGGCTGTTCCTTGGTATTTAGGGTTTTTTTCTGCATCATTTACATGTGTGAAAGTGCCCAGGCCCCAGTGTGCAGGTCACTAGGCTTTGGCAGATGTGTAAACCCCGTAACCATGGCCACGTCCATCCTGCAGTCAGTCCCTTGTGCCCCTCCCCCCAGGCTCACTGACAAGGGCAGGGTGGAAGGAGCTGGCGTGTTGTGCCCTCTTTGCTCCCCTCCTTCTGTTCTGTGGTGGCACGGCAATGACAGATCGGAGCCTTCACAGGAAGTGTTCATCCTCGTCACCACCGGTGCCTGTGGGACGGGAAGGGGCTGTTAGGG